GGGATAAAGGTTTTATTGTTGTTTTTGTTGTTTTACGTAAAGCTCTACACATTTGTTTCAAAAGAAGTCTTAAATGTTGAGATCGTATCTACTGCCAAGGCGGATATCAGAGATATTTTATGCAATGGTGTGATAGATCTACTTGTGTTAGTTTATAGGAAATACAATAGTTATACCCAAATTCGATTGAGTAATATTAAATTCTCAATTGTGGGTGTTAAAATTTTTCAAGCTGAGCATAGATGATGGAAATCTTAAAGTTTATACTTTGTGACAATGCGGATCATATTTGTCCTCTTATTAGTCCAGCTGCTCTCTGATTTGTTCTGGATTGGTTTATATTGGATTGCTAAATAGTTCATTTGGGTTGATATATCGCTAATCAAGCTATGGTTGAATATTGCTGCTGACTCTCTTGTTCTTGATTTGGTTTGTTTGGTTGTTTCGGATGAATTTATATTCTGTTTTAATGAGCTATTCTGCTGTTAGCTTGCAATGGATTTTACTAATTACTCATTTGGTCTCAGGCGTTGAGCAGTAATTTGAGCTGCTGTTGGTTCCTGGCTTTTTTTTTTTTTAGTTATATTGTCCTTGACAATTGATTCTGTGGTTGGTGTGTTGCGGTTTTGGGGATTTTGAATTCTTGCTTCTCTGAAGCCTTATGTCGGTTTTTCGTTGTTCTATAAATTGATATTTTTGGGCATGCTTTTGCGGTTGAATTTTTTTGATCCCTTCCTTTGCAATTTTAACATTATAGCGTGAGGCATGAATTTTGGGTTATCGGATTCTTTGAAATTTCGTTCTATGGTGATGGAATTTTCGTAGATTCAATTAATCTAATTTTGAGAGGAATTTTAAGATTACAAATTAGAGATTTTGAAGGCATGTAAATAATATTTGTTGTTTTCCGTCAAAGCTTATTGCAAAATTGGATGTGATTCTCTCAAGTATGGTGTAAGCGGTTATCTCCTTGTGCTTGCACAGGGCCTTGATTAACAACACTGGTTTTTTCATGCCTTGATAATTTTTGCTTTTGTATTTTAGTACTTTATTTACTTGCGTGATTGAAAATTCACTAGAACTTGTACGAAGTAGGATTTCTGCTTTTATCCTAATTATTTTATCAATGCCTGGTTTTCATTAATCCTAAATTTCTATGCAAAATTTTCACTTGTCTGATTATCAAATTGTCACTTGGCTTGAATTTTACATGTTTTTTTTTTTGGTTCGTCAAAGCCGGGGAATTTTCTTTAAATTGATGGTTGTGAACTATGAATTTGTTCTTGCTTTTATACATTTCAATACTAGATTTGCTGTAGAAAACTCTGACACTAATAAGCCTCGTGTCAGAAATAAAAATAAATAAAAAAAATGATACTTCTATCACTCTTGGATCTCAATATCACTTGAATCTGAAGCAAAACATGGTGGTGAAGTGGACGGAAGGTGTTGAACCAAGTTGAAGGGAATCAATGATGTATATGGTTAAATTGATAGATTATTGCTTAAAATTTCTTATCAATTTTCCTTGAAGCACAATTATATTAAATTAAATTCTTAAATTTTTTTTATGGGTTTGGCGTTTTCCTTAAAAACGCAAATATTTCAGTAGGGTTATTAATTGAGTTTAACACTGTCATTGCCGGGTCTCAAACACCGGATGTGAAATGTGGAGAGTTGTGTTAGGTAGCTGACAACTGGCGTAAAATTTGTCAAAAAATCATGACATGGATCTTTTGATCATTGTGTAAATAGTAGGGTGTATGGCCTAAATATAGTAAAATGTATGCTAGCATCGCTCCACTGGCATCTGAGCGTAGTGTCAAATAGCAAGGGTGCCCACATTTAGAGCGGATGTTGTTAAAGAAGTTTTCATGAAACTAATATTAGATTAGGATCTTGGAATATAAGTACTCTCACATGTAAATTAATATAATTAGTTGATATTATAATTCATAGAAAGATAAACACCCTATGTATTCAAGAAACTAAATGAGTTGGAGAAAATGTTAAGAAGATTGATAACTTAGGTTTTAAATTTTGGTATTTTTAAATATTTGTATTCAGGTAAGAGACCCTAGAAATGATGTAGCTGTAATTATAGATAAGGGTTTGAAAGATAATAATTGTATTCAGGTAAGAGACACTAGAAATGTTGTAGCTGTAATTATAGATAAGGGTTTGAAAGATAATTTTTTAAAAATTAATAGAATTAGTGATAGAATTATAGCCCTTGAGATATTAAGATTTTTAATATTATAAGTGCCTATGTTTCTCAAGTAGTTTTAGATATATGTTCTAAAGAAAAATTCTGGATTGACCTAGAAGATTTAATACAAATGATACCTCTTGAAGAAAAAATTTTTATTGGAGGAGATTTAAATGGACATGTCGGTAGAGTAGTAGAAGATTTTAGAAATTCAAAGCAACTAAAGTTTTGGAGTGATTAATGAAGAAAGTAGAATCATATCAGATTTTACTTTATCTTAAAATTTTGTTATTGCTAATATTTTATTTAAAAAAAGAGATAAGAATCACTGTCATCAAGAAATAAAAATTCCAATTTATAAAACACATTGATTATTTTCTTATGAGAAGAGATTGTCGAGAATGTAAAGATTGTAAGTATATTCCAAGTGAAGATTTAGATACTCCAAATCGATTATTAGTTTTGGATTTTAAGATCAATAATTTTAATATAAAGAATATTGGGAATCATTGTCATAGAATTAGATGAGGGTGCCTTGCCTACAAGCCGTATAAAACCTTAACAATCTTGGATATGCTTATAGCTGGAAAAGTCGACGCCACAGTTTGGACAGTTTGTGCATGACGTGGATAAGATGAAACCTCTAATTGCTTTAATGAAATTACTGGATAAGTCTTGGAATGGGAGAAATAGTTTGGTACGAATCAAGTACTTAGATGCTGTTTAGTTGAGGCTTATCCTAGTATAAAGTATGGATTTAGTAAATTATCTTTCCTACTGTTTCTTCTCTTGTTATTTAACAGCTGAACGTATGTGCTTTATTTTTTGCTTAAACCTTTCCTTGGTTGTTCTCTCTTAAGGCTTTGGAATTAGTTCCTCCCGTTATACAAAACATGAGCTAGATTAGTCTTATGCTTGCGGTAAAAGTTGGCTCAACCTATGTTTAATTCTTTAATAGATTATGATTATCTTTATGATTGCTGATTATCTCTCAAAATTTATCTAATAACTTTTAGTGCTTTTGGTAGTAATAAAGCTCCCTTTGTTGATATTATTTTTATTTTAAATGATTTTTATTATCAAAAGAGAATGCTATGGGCTAAAATTTGTTGGATTTAACGGAATTTTACTAGTTTTCCACACTCTTGACGCAGGACTAATTAAAGCCGCTATAATGTCCATCTTTTAAGTTATTCTTAAGTGGTTTCTCTTCTGGTTTTTCCTAACTTTCTACCCTTAGTTTCATCTTGCAGCATATGCATCCATGCTAGAATAAGCTTGCCATGTAACTGACTTTCTGATTTCTCTAGAATATTGGTGGTTCATTTTTTTCTCGTATATCTGACAACTTTCTTCATTAAGTTTGGTAGAGCTAAATCAAGCTCATTTATGTTTGACTTCCTTATGCTCCTAAAATCTTTCAGGCACACATTGCCTTGAATGACATTGATGCTGCGGTCGAAAGCTTCAAGAATGCTTTGGAACTCGAGCCAAATGATGGTTAGTGGTACTTCTGTTCTTTAAAAACTTTCAAGTGAACCATTGTTTTTATTTCAAGGAGATTTCTTGTGTACTTTAAGAAAATCTCATGCAATCCTTTGTTTGCTTTTTTTATTTTCAAGGGTATTTTTGGTTTTAATTTAAGAATTCCCTCTAGTGAACTGTTGTTTTTATATTTCTTCATTTTTCTTTCAGGAGGTATAAAGAAAGAGCTGGCTGCTGCAAAGAAAAAGGTATGATAGGCTTTTTCCAATGGTTGAAAGCCGTTAAGACATTCGGTTTTTAATCATCTTCTATGACTCATTGCAGATTGCTGATAGGAGGGATCAAGAGCGAAGGGCCTTCGCAAGGATGTTTCAAACTTCTGCAAAGTTTGAGCCTAATAATGAGGTTGGCTTGTCTTTCCTTGATGGTGCAAAAAATTTTATCAGCTGGCCATATCAATGAAAGCTGCAAAGGAAGTTTGCAAAATACTTGATTTCTGAGTGTTTTTTTTTTCTTTCATTTTTTGCAGGATAGGCATCTATGAAAAAGTTTATTTTGAAACTGCCAGAGGCCCTTTAGGTTGAAAGAAGTGCCTGACAAAAAATGAGGCATATTTAGCTTGATGATGATGGAAATCTCATTGTTTTCTCTTTTTATTTTTCTTGCAGATTTGTTGTCCGCAAGAGTTTTATTTATTTATTAGCTGAGGAGCAAATTCACTGATACAATTTGAGCAGAACTACAAAATCAATTTACTTGTGATCTTTTACTTTTTTGTTACCCCTTTATTTGTGCTTTTTTTGAGAGGAACAATTTCATGTGCATTGCTGCACCTGCATGTTTTATATTTGAGAACTTTATTTTTTATGGGCTGCGTTGTAAACATTCAAATATAAAACATGTGGAGGGAAAACATTTTTATATTTGAGAACTTTTTTTTATTACCCCTTCATTTGTGCTTTTTTCATGGGAACAATTGCATTTGCCTTACTGCACCTGCATGTATTAGAATTTAAATGAGCGTTATTCCTAGTTTTATGCTGATTTGTTGAGTTTATCATTTTGTGACTGCTTCTAGGAAAATGCATTTCAGCAGCTTAGTTTTTTTTTTTTTTTTTTTTTTTTTTTGTGGTGTCAGTGAGCTTCTTCCTTGTGTATTTTGCATCTGCTTGATGTTGATCAGGGATTGCTTTTTTTTTTTTTTGGATTGTCAGGGATTGGCTTTAAGTCCATATCTTTTACTTTATTTATGGATGTTCTTATTGGGTTTTATAAGATGATGTACCTTGGTATATGTATTTTGTTGATCATATCCTTCTTATGTATAAGACCCAAAAAAGAGTTCAAGAAAAATTGAATTATGGAGGTTAACTTTAAGATTTAAAGGTTTTTGTTTGAGAGTAAATGTGAAAGAGGATATATGGAATTTAGTTTTAGTAGTAGTGCATTTAGTGGTGGGATTGTAACAATAGGTGAGCAAGTCATCAAAAGTAGTGAACACATTAAATATCTGGTGTATATTGTTCAAATTGACGTTAATATGGATGGTGTTGCTATTAGTATATTTCAAGTTCGATGGTTGAAATGGAGGAATGCATCGGGCTTATTGTGTGATGAAAAATTACCTCTTAGACTTTAAAGGAAAATTTTATAAGATAGTGGTGAGACTTGCAATGTTTTATGGTGTAGAATGCTAACATGTAAAGTGAAGCATAATATTAAGTCAGATGTTGATATGAGAATTGCTTAGGTGGATTAATTGCTTTGCACTTAGAGACAAACTGTGAATTGAATATATCAGTGAAATGGATGGTGTAGCTTTAGTGGCAGACAAGATTAAAGAGAGCCGTCTTAGATTGTTTGGTCACATTAAATATTGATCATAATATGATACTGTTAAGAGTAGATGTTTTAGATTTGACTTGTATTAAGGTAAAGATAGACTTAGAAAAATGAGGGTATGTTGAATAAAAAATGATCTTAATTTATTAGAATTAATTGAAAATATAACTCTTAATAGGGCACAATGAAGAGAAAGGGTTCATAAAGTTGTCCTTATTTAGTGGAATAGAGGTTAGTTCTTTTGAGACTTTTGGATTGAACGTTCTCTTATTGGCGCTCATATCATATGCAAAATGTTTAAATAATTTATATGAATTATTGACAACTTTAACGTCGCATGCAATTTACAGTTTGGCCAAACACATCTGGAAGTGATCAATAGATTGCTTTGCTTGATGCATCCAATAGAAATTTATAATTCTATTGTGTAATGCCATGCATTCCATGCATTAGAATTATGACTGTGGAAAGCAATTAAAAGTTCAAATCTTGAATTAAGTTAAAAATTGTCATTCTTGTAATCTTTTTGTTATGGTTGTGAGCTTCATGTTGGAAGACAACATTTTGAGATGGTTAAGTGACATAGCTGGATGCAATATTTGGTTTTAAGTGCTCGCTTATTGTTATAATATGTTGCAGTAATTTGAAACTAGTGATACTAGAGTTAATTCAAACAAAATAACAATAATATTATTGTTGAAATTCAAGTTGGCACTTAAAATCAACTAACAAAAATAAAAAAGATAAAGACAGAAACATAAATTAGGGTTGAATCGAAGATGAGGCAAGAGGGAGTTGGTGATCGGGCAACTGTTGGTGGGAAAAGGTGAAGGGTGGATTTGGTAGCAAGTTGACAACAAGTAGGGGAAAGGTGGGTTGACAACAGTGGAAACAACGATAAAGAAGAAAGGAGGTGGCAAGTCGATAGTAGGTGGTGGAAAGGTGTAATGACAGTAAGTGAAATAATGATAGGGAATGCTAGAGTTGGCGACATGAAAACTGTGAGGAACAATAAATAAACACAACCTAATGATGGGTTATAATTGAAGCACCTTTTTGCTTTGAGAAACAACCCTAGAAGGAAAAACCTGGATGCCGACGATTATCTTAATAGAAAGTTGAATAAAAATTTGAACTAAAACACAAAAAAATAATATATAAATACTAATCGGGTGGTTAATGGTGGACCTCTCAATTAGGGGGCAATTCCCCATCAAGTAAGGATTGTGTCCCCTCTCCTCCCTTAGCATGACCTAGTACTCGAGTTCGATGATTTGCGGCTATTGAGTCTTGTGCCCCTTGAGGGAGAAGCACCCGCATTAGTCTCCCAGGATTAGGGGATTTTCAATCTCGACTGTCGAAGCTTTAGTTTCCTCATAGTATAGAGTCAAGTTCCTTACTAAGGATGTATGACCTATCCTAGGTTTTTAGTTGGAGCACTTACTCGATGACGGTAACCTGTAATGGAAGACGCTGAAAAAAAATCCATCAAGAATTTTTAACCTATCTTAAGCTATTTATTCGAAATGATTGTTTGACGATTGTAATCTATATTGGAAGAGGTCAAATTAAGTCTTCTTGAGATTTATTAAACTCATAATGAGGTGACAAAGTTATTTTGTGTTTTTCGAGTTTAGGGCATAGGTCGAGATAAACTCTACTTTTTTTAGAAATATGGTTGAAACCATATTAAAAAATGATGTTTGTTAACATTGTGTTATTGCCTTTTTATTTATTGGCCCTAGTAAGGGCATCAATCACACAAGTTTGTAAAGCGGCATTAATTTTCTTAAAAATGCAATCATAATTATTTTCAAACAAAGTTTAAAATGTATATGAGAAAAAAAAAGTTTAATACTTAACAAAATGAAGTACATCAAATTTTGAAAGAAAATTAAAGCATATAAAAAGGAAAGCAACTACAGATACAAAGTGATGACAGAACACCAATAACGACAAAATAGTAGCTAGAGTAGTACGACTGTGAACCACTCCATGAAGATTTTTTCTGTTACAGGTTTGAGGAACAAACTTCCCGGTAGTGTCTTTTAGCTTTAAAATCCCAAGACCATGTATGCCCCCCCCCCCCAAGGGGGGAAATTTGGTTGCATTCAGAGCATTCAGAGCTTTTTTTGACGACCTCAAGACGTGATAAGACCAAGTGTCCAATGAAGATTGGTCAAGATTTTACTTTTCTGTTAAAATAATGAGCTACCATTTGGTTGTATGAAGCAGCTTTGAGAAGGGCACTTCACAAAGTGGTTGAAGAAGATTTCAAATTCTATCAGTGTTTCTCGTCATTCACATCAGGATTGAAATGTTGAACCCTGAGGCTTGAGATTCCAGTATCAACTAAGAACACTGTTTGTATGTTGAAATGGAGATTATATGTTGTTTCCCCAATTTGAGTATAACAAATGGTGCCATAAGCCCAAAGAAGATTAGAGAGTTTTTCGGGCCATCACCCCCAACCTTCCACAAGCGAGCTCTTAGGTCTTTGAGTGTGGTATAGCTGTTGACTTCAATTTGACCATTCGTTTGGGGATGAGCTACACTCATATTTTGGATATAGAGATCCTTATGGAAATATGTAAAGACCTTTCTAATGAACTGAGTTTTGTTATCATTAATAATTTTTATAGAAATACCAAAGTGATAAATTATGTTTTCATAGACGAACAACTAGGTATTTACTTATATAATTTGGCAAAGGGCTCTACCTCCACACAGTTAGTGAAGTAATCAATGTCCAAAATAAAAAAAAAATTGTTTTACCATGGCTATAGGAAAATACCCATGATATCCATCCTCCATTGGGCGAAGGACTATGGGTTTTGAAGGGACTTTAATTTTGTAAGCCATGTGTCTGTGAGGTTAGAATAAAACTAAAAACTTTCATAATTTCTGGTGAAATTTAGTGCAACTTGCTTCATCATTGGCGAGTAATGCCCCGATATCATTATCTTAAGAGTGAAGGATCTTCCTCCCTAGTGTTCACCATATATCCCAACGTGAACGCCTCACAATGTGTAGTAATCACTAGTAAAAAAAAAGGCATTTAAGATATGCCTCAGTAAATGACCTTTTATAAAGTTCACCATTTATGTTGGTAAAATTTGTTGCTTGTCTCTTGATCTGGAGGGCAAATGTTCATTTGTTTCCTCGATAGATTGTATCTCCTAAGGACCAAGAATCCAAAAAAAAAAAAATTCATATTTCTAATACATCTCCTTTTATAGGAATATGCAGTTGTTGAATTGGCCAGTTTAGAAGGGGCATCAACCTAAGAATTTTTCTTCCGGAGCATGTGACTTTATAATGTGTTTGAAAACAAATAAAAAGCAATCTCACTATGGTAAGATATTGTTCATACCAAGGATTATTAAGATTGAATTCCCCCTCCACCAGAGACAAGCATGAATATAAATAAATAAGTCATGAACCTCACATTCCATGGAAAGTTAATTTGTCGATAAGGGCGTCATATTCAACTTCATTATTTGTCACCAAAAGTTATGAATGAAGCCCATACTCAAAAATATTTTTCTTAGCAGAGATAAGAATGACTCCAAACCAGGCTCCAGAAATCCCAAAAGCTCCATCAATGTACAAAGTCAACAAGAAAGTTTGAGGGGACAATGACTGACTTGATAGGAGTAATAATTGTACATTCAACCATATAGTTAGCGAGCACTTATGATTTGATATCAGACCTCACTAAGAAATAGATATCAAGCTCCTCTAATTCTACAGACCACTTTATCAGTCTCTATGATGCCTCAAATTTTTATAAGATAGCCCTTAGGGTGGTTTTTGTAAACACTAATAGTATGGGATTAAAATACATATGTAATTTTCATGTCAAGAATAATAATATTAGGTTTGTCTTACCAATCAACAAACAACAATTTTTTTATACCATAAAAGATTTTACTAACATTGTAAATCAGCCATTGAACCTTATGCTCCTCCTTAATAAGGACTGAACTTATTGGATGCAGAGACACCACAAGGTAGAGATACAACATCTCATCTTGCATTGGTTTTAATAACATAGACAATGAAGCAATGTATGTTTCAA